TGAGTCAGCTCTTGGCATCAGGTGGCCAAAGTATTGGAGTTTCAGCTTCAACATCAGTCCTTCCAATGAGCACCCAGGACTGATCTCCTTTAGGATGGACTGGTTGGATCTCCTTGCAGTCCAAGGGACTTTCAAGAGTCTTCTCTAACACCACAGTTCAAAACCATCAATTCCTCAGTGCTCAGCTTTCTTCACAGTCCAACTCTCACATCCATACATGACCACTGGAAAAACCATAGCTTTGTCCAAATGGACCTTTGTTGGCAAAGTAATGTCTCTGCTTTTTAATATGCTATCTAGGTTGGTCATAACTTTTCTTCCAAGGAGTAAGTGTCTTTTAATTTCATGGCTGCAATCACCATGATTTTGGCAGTGATTTTGGAGCCCAGAAAAATTAAGTCAGCCACTGTTTCCATTGTTTCCCCATCTATCTGCCATGAAGTGAAGTTTTCATTCCAATCCCAAAGAAAGGCAATGGCAAAGAATGCTCAAACTACCGCACAATTGCACTCATCTCACACGCTAAAAAAGTAAAACTTAAAAATCTCCAAGTCAGGCTTCAGCAATATGTGAACTGTGAACTTCCAGATGTTCAAGCTGGTTTTAGAAAAGGCAGAGGAACCAGAGGTCAAATTGCCAACATCCGCTGGATCATCGAAAAAGCAAGAGAGTTCCAGAAAAACATCTATTTCTGCTTTATTGACTATGCCAAAGCCTTCGAATGTGTGGATCACAATAAACTGTGGAGAATTCTGAAAGAGATGGGAATACCAGACCACCTGACCTGCCTCTTGAGAAATCTGTATGCAAATCAGGAAGCAACAATTAGAACTGGACATGGAACAACAGACGGGTTCCAAATAGGAAAAGGAGTACATCAAGGCTGCATATTGTCACCCTGCTTATTTAACTTATATGCACAGTATATCATGAGAAATGCTGGGCTGGAGGAAGCACAAGCTGGAATCAAGATTGCCGGGAGAAATATCAATAATGTCAGATATGCAGATGACACCACCCTTATGGCAGAAAGTGAAGAAGAACTAAAGAGCTTCTTGATGAAAGTGAAAGAGGAGAGTGAAAAAGTTGGCTTAAAGCTCTCAACATTCAGAAAACTAAGGTCATGGCATCCAGTTCTCTATGTCTGCATCTCTATTTTGCTTTTTGGTTTTTCAGTATGCTGACCCCGTTATCCTATTCTTACTATAGATTCTTGAGGTCAGGGACCAAGTCCACAGTGTTCTTCATCTTACTCTTTCTTCCTAGCACAGAGAAGGTGCTCAATAAGCAATCACTGAATAAATGAATGGATCCTACCATAAGTATAGTTCTCCTTGCACAGAAGCAAAGTAAGTGTAATCAAAGCAATAAATGAACCAGTAATTCCATTCAAAAACATAAATTTGAAAAGACACATGTACCCCAAGGTTCATAGCACCATTAATTACAATAGCCAAGATATGGAAGCAACCTGAGTATCCTTCAACAGATGAGTGGACAAAAAAGATGTGTTACATATATTTACAGTGGAATATCACTGAGCCATAAAAAAGAATAAAATTTTGCCATTTGCAACAGCATGAATGAATTTGGATGGTACTATGCTAGTGAAATAAGTCAGATAGAGAAAGGTAAATACTATATGTTATCACTTATATGTGGAATCTAAAAATTAAAACAAACTAGTGAATATAACAAAAAAGAAACAGACTCACAGGTACAGAACACAAACTAGTAGTTACCAGTGGGGAGAGGGAAGTGAGAAGGAGCAAGTAAGGGTAGGAAATTAATAGGTACCAACTACTATGTGTAAAATAAATAAGCTACAAGGATATATTATACAGCACAGGGAATATAGGTAATATTTTATAATAACTATAAATCAAGATAACTTTAAAAATTGTGAATCACTATATTGAACTCCTGAAACTTATGTAACATTGCAAATTAACTATACCACAATAAAAAATAATAATTCTAAAAAAGCAACAAATAAATAGAAACCTTTATATCAGTGGGAAGTTTGGTTATAAAATGGTAGCTCTTAAACCCAACATTACTTGGTTACCAGTCATCACAAATATTGTCTTTTTTTATCACCACTTACAAAGAACACTATATGAATTGTCTTCAAGAGCTGTTTCTAAACCTCACTTTGGAAAGACTGTCTTGATCATCACTTGTATCCTGTTTACTGCCCCAAATGATTATCAGATGTCTCAATTACCCACTTTCGTCATCATAGTTGACTTCAAATTGTCCTTGATAATGTTGCCAGTTATCCAATTATTACAAAATACTTTGGACATCTTTGTAGTGAGAGTAGGACCCATTCCTCATGCTGTTGTTTGAACACAGGAAACACTCATTTCGATATCAAGGATGATCATCATTTAAGTTCTCATGTAAAATTTAATTCCTATTATATACAAAGGTTTTCATTATAAATTTTAATCTTCATTATAAACCATAAGCAACTTTGGATTATCAGTGGTAAATCACCACAACTAAAATCAGATGTTTTTTTCTGTTGGCTTGTTGGCTAAGGAACCTAGGGATTAGAGAGCCCCATTAGGGACTTACCCTATTCCTTTAGAACTTTATGAAGGTTGTTAATAGTTGCTGTTATTAATAAATGCTCTTTTGTAGTGTGGAAATGAAATTAGAGCTGCTCTGAGTTGCCTCACTGGAGAACTAGAACCAATGAGTGGAAAACACCTACTTTAATTCATTGTTAGAAAAGACCAGCCAACCATTAGCAAAATTCTACTTAAAATACGTAGCTGCCAGTTTCTTGGCCTCCAGCTTCTGTGCTTTAATCACAATGGAAGGAGCTTATCATAAATCCTAGAAATGATATAGTATCTCCTTAATGGCGGTGGTAAGGTGAGAGTAGTTATTTCAACGTCCTGTGGGCTATTAAAAAGCAAGCGTTAAAAAAAAAAAATAAAAAGCAAGCGTTAAAAAGAAACCTAGCATTCTATTCATACTAAAAAAAAAAAAAAAAAAAAAGCATTAGAACAATGAGTTTGAGATATAATCCTTTTGTTTAGGGAGAAATGTGCTCGCCTAATGGCCCAGTAGAATGTGAAGAGTTTCAAATGAAAACTATGGACTAGAATTTAGGGGAAAGGACGCGTGAGGGAGGGTAAGACGGGACAGCCAGGAAGAGAGGAAAATGTTTTGCCCCTAAACAAACTTTTCATTTTGTTAGCTCTGTGCTGTATTTCAAAAGGCTCCTGGCTGAGTCTGACCTAATCTTACATCAAATATCACTGCTGTGTGCTGTGTGCACAGGTCAGGCATGGGTTTCTCCCTTTTGGCAGCTCTGGATCAGTGAAATAATCCTTGGAGTGGTTCAAGAGGTACCAAGAGAGGAGTGAGAATGAGAATCGATGTACAGTTTGCTTACTCTTATAAAGCTGGCGTTGCCCACAGGAGCTGATCTGACAGGGCCCACATGTGCCAGCATAGCCCAGTTAGAAAGGTTATGCACTTATCTAGAGACTACGTGCACACACACACACATACACGCACACACAATTTGGCTGATTGCAATAATGAACACTCTCATCTAAACCCAATTATTGAAACTAGACTCAGTATATTAATATACTCTGCTTTCTCCTTGTGTCTAGAAATTCCAGGTGTTAATGTCACATTTCTCTGTATAGTGCCTGATTTCTGCTCTGTGCTTTTTCGAGATGACCTAGAGATAGTCATCTGTTGCCTGCAGCTTCAAGTCCAAATGCCCAGTCCCAACATAATCTAGCTCCAACATAACTTTCTAGCCCAGTAACTTCTCTCGATGAATCTCAGTCATCCAGTCCCCTAAACACACCTTGTGATGTTATAGTTCTTGACCTTTACTCGCTCTACTAGCCATCAGGGCCATCCAGCTATCTTCAACATTGTTCAAAACTTTCAAGAAGCTTAGGCATTTATTCCCACATATTGATCTCGTCATAGCCCAGGACATAGACTAGCTCCACATTTTATACACAAAGCTCTGGTTACCTTAGATTAACCCACCTGGCTCAGTGGAGCCCAGGTTTATAGAGAGTGGTTGCCAACTGGCAGTGTGATGACCATATTTACAGAATTACTTCCTTGGGCACAATTTGGGTATGCATGATATTTAAAAAACTATCTAAATTAGTTGCCAATGTTAAAAAGGTAGACCATTCCACATTATTCTTTTTAAAACCCGAATTTACAGCTTCTTTCAAAATATCAGGAAAGAAGGCATCTTAGCTTAGCTTCCTGAATAGCAAAAATCAGCCAGCACTGATTGAGTAGCCACTGTTTTTTCTTTTATTTGGTTCATTTCTTTTATTTGCTACAGCTCCTCATGCTCCCACATTCCTTGTTTATATATTTATTTGCCCGTGTCACATCTTAGTTGCAGCATGCAAGACCTTCATTGCATCACATGGGATTTTTGTGGTGAACAGACTCTCTAGTTGCAGCACACAGGCTTTAGTCGCTGTGACATGTGGGCCAAGCTGCTTCCCAGCATGTCTGATCTTAGTTTCCTGACCAGGGGTCAAATCCATGTCTCCTGCTTTGCAAGGCAGATTCCTAACCACTGGACCACCAGGCAAGTCCCATCCAAAATTTCTTATAACCAAGTTGCTTTACTCATTTAGTCCACCTAACTGGATGTTACAAGCATTTGAGTTTGAACATCACCAACTTTTGCACCAAGGAACTGTTAAATGTCACCCTCCAAAACACTGGACTCTATAGAGCTATAGCCCTTCCCAGGAAGAGCCATGAGAAAGCAAAGAAAAACAAGCTGCACACCCTATTTTGGTTCAGTCCTTCTCCCAACAAAGGTCATCTCCTTCCTCCCACACCAGAGAGAAATATAGGTACTAGTCCAATGTGAACTGTGTTCCAACTCTCTTTTTTCCAAGGTTGTGAGACAAAACTATTACTCCTTTTCTACTACCCATTATTACTGTAAACTTTCTATTTTAGAATAGTTTTTTTTTTTTTTTTTAGCTTGGCCATTTAGTTTATGTTGACAAATTTAGTTACATGTTAGGAGGGACACTCCATGTACAAAAGAACCCAATAGCAAGCATATATTTTAACGGTTGATTAGTCAGGCAACAACTGACTTAATTTTTTTCTTGTATTTTTTTTAGAAGATACTCCATTTGTAAATTCAAATTTGGTTGGCCCTTTTTAGTCTTTTTGCTCAGTATTTTGAACACTTCCATTTTCTTCTTCTTGTAGAGCCTTTGGGCTTCTTCTCTCTCTTATTTTCTTCTCTAAAATTCTTGTTTCTTAGCAGCTCGCTTGGCTTGTATCTGCTCATATTCTTCCTGAGTTTTTTGATTTGATGTTTTCTTTTTATTTTTCTTTGGAATATTAATGGAGTTTATTCTTATGCTACACTGTTCTTCTGGCTGAGGCTGCTCAATGCTACAGTGGTCTTCAGACAAAGCCTGGTCATTGCTACCTTGGTCTTCTGGCAAAGACTGATCAACTTCTTGTTCTGATAGAGGCTGGTCAGCTTTTCTAAGCTGCTTCCTGAGTCTTTCCTCTTCAGCTAAATAAAGATGTTTCAGATGATCAGGATACCAATCTGTGAAGGGGGATTCACTTGGTGTTTGAGACTTCTTTTCCCTCCGGAGTAATTTCTTATAAGTTTGCTGAATCTTGAGTTTTCTTCGAAATGCAAAGCCTTGTCCTTCTCGAACGCTCCCCGAGAAGGCTTGCAGATGATTAGGTCGCCACGTTTTCCGTTTCACATTCTTATTTCTGAATTCAACCGGTGAAACTCCTCCACGCGTCCCCAAACTCCCTGCCCATCCGCTTCGTGCCGGCCACACGGGCGCCATGGCACACCAACCAAGGCCTCTATTTTAGAATAGTTTTGGATTCACAGAAAAGTTGCCAAGATAATACAGGTTGTTCCCCAGACCAAGTTTTCACTGCTATTACTAGCTTACATTAATATGGGTCATTTGTGACAACTGTAAACCAATATTAATACAGAATTATTAACTAAAGTTCATACTTGATTCAGATTTCCTTAGCTTTTAAACTAGTGCCCTTTTTCTAGAAGTTCTCAAGATTCTAGCCACATGACATTTAGTTATCATGTCTTCTTAATCTCCTCTTGGCTCAGAATTTCTCAGACTTTTCATTGTTTTCTATGACTTTGACAGATTTGAGAAGTGCAGGTCAGGTACATTAGAGAATGTCCCTAAACTGGAAGATGACTGAGGTTTTTGATCAAGACTAGACTGGGGTTGTGGGTTTCAGTGAGGAGGACAGAGAGACAAATACCTTCCTCACTGCATCATGTCCAGAGTGTAAACTATTGATGAACGTAAACTTTGACCTCCTGGCTGAGATTGTATTTATCATATTTCAGCTCTGCTGTTTCTCTTTTTCTCTCCTTTCCATACTGTGCTTTTTGGAAGGAAGTCACTATGTACAGTTCATGCATCAGGAGTAGGATTTATGTTCCCACCTCCTTGAGGACAAAAGACCTAAAGACAAAGGAAATAATTTGGAGTTCCATACAGGAGATTTGTCTATTCTCCCTTTATTTGCCTGTTTGCTTATTTAATCAATTATGTATATCAGTGGACACTTATTTTATCCTTTGGATTATAATCTAATATCTTATTACTTTATTATTTTACTCTTTTTTTGTTTGTTTGTTACTCAAAATTGGCCATTGGGAGCTCTTTCTCTTAGCTCCAGCTTCACTTTAACACATCTGCATTATTGTGGGATTTTTCTCTTTGTTTTGAGCACTTCTTTACTTTCTGACACTTCAGGCACATCTTCAGATATAGCAGGATTACCTTTTATTTCTTTCCATGATGCTAAAATCAACCATTTGTCCTAGAAGACCTGATTCTTTTTACTGGAGAATAGTATTAGAAAATGAGATTTGGTTGCCTATCATCCATATTATACATTTTTATTTATTGTCAATTCCTTGTACTGATAGTGATGTAGAACTAGGACTCTCATACATTGTTGACAGGGATACAAACTGGTACAGCCACTTTGGATAACAAAATTGCATTTTATTACAAAATTAAACACACACTATTCAATGCAGAAAATGCCTCCTCTCCCATCCCCCTGCCCTAAGTTTTTAACCAAATTAAAAGACTCAGTGGTATCCCAGACAAGAATACAGCCAGCACCTCGGCTAATACCTCTGGTCATTATGCAATCTCATTTGGCTAAATAGTTTCTCCCCAAATTACTTGAGATGACATAATTTTTTTCTTATCTGGAAAACAACTTATCCTCAGAATATTTAGTTAGGCATTGAAATGTTGAAGAGAATCAGCTCCTTAATATTAACATTTTTGTATTAAGTCTTCATATTGGAGACTTTATGTACTTATAGTGTTAAAAGAGTTTCACTTCTTAGGAGGTTAATATGAACTATGTCATTAAGCAATTAGTCTTCAATCTTAAGTTGACATTTTCTTGTTTATTCGTAGAAATGGAACATGTGTTTTAGAAAAACATCTTGTCAACATCTTGACAGGTTGTTCTTGTTCAGTCACTAAGTCTTATCTCTTTTGTGACCCCATGGACTGTAGCCTGCCAGACTCCTCTGTCCACGGGATTTCCCAGGCAAGAATACTGGAGTGGGTTACCACTTCTTCCTCCAGGGGATCTTCCTGACCCAGGGATCAAACCCATGTCTTTTGCATTGCAGGTGAGTTCTTTACCACCGAACCACCAGGGAAGCTCCTTTTCAGGTTAGAGACTGCCGACCTTAAAAGTGCTAATATAGTGAAGATGGCGCAAAGAAAATTCTCTATCAGGTTACTGTAATCACCAAAAGCACCACAGGAAAACAAGTACTAACTCTTCCTAGTTCAGCCACAGATCTACTTAGTATCTTCACATTATAAAAGACTTCAAGAAAGACAGTAAAATTACAGCCAGCTCCCCATGTCATCTTAACCCACACTGTGTTAGGCACACAAAAAAGAAACGCCATTTGGGGTTATGAGGACAACAGGAAGAAGAATACTCAGCAGCAACCTGGCCCTAAATGCAGCAACTTAACCTCTCTAAGCAAGTGGCATTTCTTCAACCAAAAAACCAAAGCAAATTTCAATCTTAACTAACCTTTATTAAAGTATTTATTGTTGGCGTTCCTCAGAAACACAGTAAACATAAACAGGGACAGCATTTAGAATCTCTGTACCTTGATAAAGGCCTTCTGGCCTGTGCTGCCTGTAAGGAGGGTTAATTTGTCTACAGAGTTACGTAGAGTTAAGGACCTAGCAGAAGCAGAGGAGATGAAAAAGAGGTGGCAAGAATACACAGAACTGTATAAAAAGGTCTCAATGACCTGGACAACCACGGTGGTGTGGTCACTCACCTAGAGCCAGAATCTTGGAAATGTGCAGTCAAGTGGGCCTTAGGAAGCATTACTATGAACAAAGGTAGTGGAGATGATGGAATTCCAGCAGATCTGTTTCAAATCTTAAAAGATGACACTGTTAAAGTGCTGCACTCAAGATGTCAACAAATTTGGAAAACTCAGCAGTAGTCACAAGATTGGAAAAAGTCAGTTTTCATTCTAATCCCAAAGAAGGACAATGCCAAAGAATGTTCAAACTCCTGCATAATTGCACTCATTTCACATGTTAGCAATGTAATGCTCAAAATCCTTCAAGTTAGGCTTCAGCAGTATGTGAACAGAGAACTCCCAGATGTATAAGCTGGATTTAGAAAAGACAGAGTAACCAGAAATCAAATTGTCAACATTCTTTGGATCATAGAAAAAGCAAGGGAACTGAGGAAAAACATCTACTTCTGCTTCATTGACTACGCTAAAGACTTTGACTGTGTGCATTACAACAAACTGTAGAAAATTCTTAAAGAGATGGGACTATAAACCACCTTACCTGCCTCCTGAAAAACTTATACATGGTCAAGAAGCAACAGTTAGAACCAGATGTGAAACAATGAACCGGTTTAAATTTGGGAAAGGAGTACATCAAGGCTGTATATTGTCACCCTGCTTATTTAATTTCTATGCAGAGTACATCATGGGAAATCCTGGGCTAGAATCACAAGCTGGAATCAAGACTGTGGCAGAAATATCAACAACCTCAGATATGCAAATGATACCACTCTAATGGCAGAAAGTAAAGAGGAACTAAACAGCCTCTTGATAAAGGTGAAAGAGGAGAGTGAAAAAGCTGGCTTAAAACTCAGCATTCAAAAAACTAAGTCATCTGGGCTGGTCCCATTATTTCCTGGCAAATAGAAGGGGAAAAAAGTGGAAACAGTTACAGATTTTACTTTCTTGGCTCCAAAATCACTGCAGACAGTGACTGCAGCCTTGAAATTAAAAGACGCTTGCTCCTTGAAAGGAAAACTATGACAAACCTAGACAACATATTAAAAAGCAGAGGCATCAGTTTTCCAACAAAAGTCCATATACTCAAAGCTATGTCTTTTCCAGTCGTCATGTACAGAAATGAGAGTTGGACCATAAAAAAGGCTGAGCATCAAAGAATTAATACTTTTGAATTGTGGTGCTAAAGAAGACTCTTGAGAGTCCCCTGGACTGCAAGATCAAACCAGTCAATCCTAAAGGAAGTCAATCCTGAATACTCAGTGGAAGGACTGATGCTGAAGCTGAAGCTGCAATACTTTGGCCACCTAATGCAAAGCGCCAACTTATTGGAAAAGACCCTGATGTTGGGAAAGACTGAGGGCAGGACAAGAAGGAGACGACAGAGAATGAGGTGGTTGGATGGCATCACTGACTCAATGGACATGAGTTTGACCAAACTCCAGGAGATAGTGAAGGACAGGGAAGCCCGGTGTAGTTCCTGGGGTCACAAAGAGTCAGACATGGCTTAGCGACTGAACAACAGCATATAGTTACTGTATCTCAGATATAGTAATTCGGACAGTCTCAACACTTGCTGTCCAAGCATAATGAACGGCGCCTATTTCCACTATCAAAAGCATACCAGTTGGGAGGGCAAGATAACCCACACTTCTAGCTTACTGTCCATATGGGTTGGCATTTGGAGAGCGGAAAATCACTACTCTTGAACTTAGAAATTTTGAGTCCGAAAAACAGTTAGGTTATTTCTTACCTAAAGCTGGGGAGCCCAGAGTTTTCCCAAGGATGCTGCTGCTTTTTCACATAGTGTTACATGGACTATGTGAAAACATGGAAATGCAAGAACTTTGTAAACCATAAAGGATGAAACAAACACAGTATTACAACAATGAAGCAAGTGGGTGGTAGCAAAAGTGAAAACTGCAATGGAATGAAAGAATTTAAAATGTTTAATAGTTTTTTGACCCAATGCCACACTTCTTCCCCAAAGCCAGGGGCTTCCCTGGTGGCTCAGAAGGTAAAGAAGCCGCCTGCAATACAGGAGACCCGGGTTTGATCACTGGGTCAGGAAGTTCCCCTTGAGAAGGAAATGGCAACCCACTCCAGTATTCTTGCCTGGAGAATCTCATGGACAGAGGAGCCTGGCAGGTTACAGTTCATAGGGTCCCAAAGACTTGGACATGACTGAAGCAACTTAGAACACCACGCTTCTTACTTAAAGTGACTCATCCTTTCCTCCTCTCCCCTCCTTCCTTTGTTTTCTTCCTTTCAATATTTTTGAGTTCCTACTATGCACCAGGTACTAGTCTAGTGACTGGTAGGAGCTTCACAAGAACAGCAGAAACCTTTTGGAAAAATATATGCTTGATTGCATGAACTCCCCCTTCACTGAAATCACATATATAGAGTCCTTCCCCTCTATCTCTTTGGAACAGTTTCACAGAGCTATCTGAGGTGCTATCTCCCAGGTTGCAGTCCTCATTT